CTAAACTTAAAACTAATAATTAAATATAATTAATCTAATAAAAGAAAACCTAGGGAAAAGGGTTCACCTACGGACAACTCAGTTTAACTCAACCTATAGATATGTGACTTTGGACTTTCATTAATCTCACGATAATTCACCAATTTAAGAATTATACACTCTCGTGTCATAATCCTCTTACTTAAACTAACCCTATGACTACTCTCGTGACTATAGGGATTAATAAAAGCACATTAAGAACTTTAGAATTACTAGTCGCAAAGGCGGTGTTCCTACTCTCGTGGCTCACTATCTAAGTTTATTATTCCTACAAACTAATACTAGCCTTCTACTCTCGCTACTTCAGCTAGTACCTTAAAGCATGGAAATATTGATCAGGTATTCACATGGATGAAAAACAAGAATAATAAATATTAATTAATGAAAAAGTCACAATCATCACTTAAATTAAATTAAATAGTACGGCGGCTACATCCAAAACCCTAGATTAAATAATTTAGCTACACATCATCTCAAAAATAAATAAAACAATGAAACCCGGGAGAAATAGGCCAAAAGTTGAGTCTGAAGTTGATCCAATGCTGCTCCGTTCCCCCTCCGATGATGGTATTGGTAGCAGAACTTGGGGTTGTGTGGTGTGGAGTTTTGGTGCTGATGGCGTAGTGGCGTGAAGTTGAAGGTGATGATGGCGGCGGAATAATAGGTGTGAGATCGGTGTGTGGAGATGGTTTTGTTGCGTGGAGTCAAGGTGGGTGATTGGATGATGATTAAGGTGATGATGATGGGGTTGCATGAGGGTGAGAGGAGAGGAAGCTGCTGGTGTGGTTGGGTGCGTGGAAGGTGGGGTGTGGGTTTTCTCTCCCCTCAAAAATAAAACCCTAATCCTCTTTTTATAGGCTTTCTAGAAACCCTATTTTTTCAGGAATAAGAAAGTTATTTTTTTCCAAGTCAATTTAAATTAAAACTCCTCCAAATCTTCAAGTACTTCAATTTCTTCCTTGTCAATTTATCAAATCTTCAATTCTTCCTTTGAGTTGCTTTTATCTTTTCAATTTAGTTCAAAACCTCAACAATTCTTCCATTTGAGTACAAAACGTACAAATAAAGATAAAATCATATAAATAGCATATTTGTACTCAAAATATATTGCAAAAATCATAAATTAAGGATATAATAAATATGTAAAATATAAGCATATCAGGATTTATCTGCTGATTTCCTGTTCCAGGCTCACTCAACTGGTTGGTCAGACGAGGTGATTAAGGTGAAAACTTTTGATGCTTTAGATTCTTGTTTCGGACAAATGAACTGTCAATTTAGAGAGTTTGTTTCTTTCTCCTCGGGTGAGAGGTGGTAAAGAAATAGATTTTGAGCATGGTATTGTTGTTGAAGATTCCGAACGTTCTTTGCATTTGCAGTTGAACGAAAATCAGCAATGTGCTTATGCTTCAATTACGAAGGCTGTTGATCTACAGTCGGGAACCAGTTTTTGCGTTGATGGACCTGGAGGTACTGGGAAAACTTTCGTGTATAGGTGTTTGTTGGCTACTGTCAGGGCTCGTGGGGCTATTGCGCTTGCTGTTACTTCATCTGGAGTTGCGACAACTATTTTACCGGGAGGGAGGATTGCACATTTTTAAAATCCCTGTGGATTTTTCTAAAGGGAAGCACTGTCCTGTTAGGAAACAAAGTGTGCTGGCTAAACTAATCGCAGATGCCAAATTGATAATATGGGATGAAGCAGCTATGGCTAGCAAAGATGCAATTGAACCTGTCGATACATTGCTGCAAGATGCTATGTCAAATGATTTAGCTTTTGGTGGTAAAGTAGTTGTCTTTGGGGGGTGATTTTAGGCAAACCCTACCTAGTGTTCGCAATACAACTGATGCTGCTCTGATGAGGAGTAGTATTTTAGGGAGTAGACTTTGGCCTTTATCGGTTAAGTTGAAGCTTACTGAAAATATGCCGGCGCGGTTAGACCCGGAGTTTTGTTCTTTTTTACTTCAAATCGGAGAAGAGTGATAGAAGCCAATACACAAGGAAATATCTTGTTGCCTTCTCATCTCGTATTACCATACGTTGGAGCTGATGCATCACTTGCAAGGTGATTGATTCTTTATGTCTTGTCTTATAGCTTTGATTAAAGAGGTATTGACCTCCGTTTTAGGTATTTATGTTGTTGTATGAAATGTGTACCTTATTTTTGTAGATTGGTTGATCGTCTGTTTGGAGATTTATTGAGATATTTAGAAGAACCCTTTACCATGGTTAACCGATGCATATTATGACCCCGTAATCAGTCAGTAGATGAAGTCAAGGGCATTTTGATTGATCAGTTCCCTGGTGAGTCTGTTTTATATTCAAGCCATGATAAAACTCTGAATAAAAGCCTTCAGGGTGATTTTGAAGATTTTTTAAATACTCTTAGTCCAAATGGTCTACCTCCACATAAGCTTGTCCTAAAAGTTGGTTGTTCGGTATGTTGTTACGCAATCTCAATCCGCTGGAAGGTTTGTGCAATAGGACTAGGATGGTTTGTAAGGAGCTGAGATCTAAATGCATATATGTACAAATGGCTTGTGGTCCTCATATGGGAAAGTGTTTCTTCTTACCTAAAATCTCTCTGCATTGCTCGAATGATGAGAATAATGGAATTCCTTTTTCGTGTACGCAATTCCCCGTGGAGCTATGCTTTTCCATGACAATTAACAAAGCTCAGGGTCAAACAATGGATTATGTCGGCGTTTATTTACGTGAACCTGTTTTCTCGCATGGTCAGCTTTATGTTGTACTCTCACGTGCAAGAATGTGTGCTCAGATCGGTGTACTTATTTTTCCTCCTAGTGCGTCGGGTAGTAAGGATGATTGTAGGACATGAAATGTGGTTTGTCGCCCAGTTTTCCAACTCGCTTCATTGTAATCTTTTGTTTGTTTTGGTTCTGGCTTACTATCAATGGTTAGCTGCAATGGTTTATATCACGTTTAATGAAAGTGGAGTAGTGGATGGTTTATGAAATGTAAGTTGCTTCATTTTTTAGGGGATTAATATTTTGTTGATACCGCTTATAAAGCTTTTTGCGAATTATGGTTGTGTTCGTGAAATTTTTGGGGGTGTATGTATTTTATAATGTTAGTTGTTAAAATTTGATGTAAGTTTTGATGCTGAATAATTGCATTAAAGTGCTATTACAATATTAATTGGGCTTTTCGGTCTTGTAATTCTGTTAAAGTCTTGTTTTACTTACTGTTAGGCCTTTCCATATGGCGATAAAGCTTGAAACGTTTTGTAAAGGTAAATTGAATCCAAGCAACTATTATGCCCTTCTCAGTGATTCTGTTGTTCAAATTTAGTTATCAAATTGGATCCTTCAATATTTTTTTTGTCTTTTTCCTAATTGAGAATCTGATATGTAATCTATAAGGGGGCCGCTGTAAGTTTACATTAAGTAGGTTGACAAACATATTCACCCTTGAAACTTCTTCACACTAATCTTAGAGTGTCTATTTTTGTAATATCTATTTTATTTCGTCAGTGGAATTTGTTTGTGAAATTATAATTGTAATTTTGAGAATTTAGCACAATCATGTAATGCTAATTTTTTTTAAAAAAAAATTCACTCCAGTGGACCCCACATTTAAAACCCTCCTTACAACTCCTAGTGGGAATCGAACCCTGATCTATCACCAGGAAAGACGGCAACCTAGGCTGTCATTTAATTCTCTCATGTAATGCTACTTACAGACTTATAATATACGATATTTATGTCGTATGAATTCCATCCAACAATATCACAGGCTAAACTCTTTTTTATTAAGTAATATGAGTGTTGTATCCTCAAATTCTCGTGCATTGCTTCCTGTGGGTTGAGATCAAATGCCATTCAAAAGTCTTTTCGTTCAGTACTTCATTTGTGTATGCAAGTTGTGAGGATCCGTTCCGTCCACATGCTGAATTTAATGCTTCCGTACAGACAGGCTGGTCCTAAGATTATTTATTGGATCTAATAATAATTGTTAGTGGTTTGCACAATTACTGTGGTTTAGACAGGCTGCTCCTAAGATTATTTATTGGATCTAATAATAATCATTAATGGTTTGCACAATTACCGTGGTTCATATGTATTGAACGTCTTTCATCAATATCTACTTACTCTATTAGAGGAGGTTTGTTACCATCTATTCTATTCTTCAGTACATTTATTATTTGCATACCCGAAAACTATAATAAATATATGAGAGTAATGTGTGCTTCTGTTATGTTGGTAGCTTGACTATCATTATTGCTGGGTAGTGCTCTTTGTTGTAATGGCTTCAGGAGATCAGAACAATAAGGTCGATGAAGAGCTGTATCTCCAGGAACTTTTTTTGTGCCTTTGAAAGTGTTGCGGCCAAACCCTTGCTACAAAAGTTTAGAAGATATCCTAAATGGAATTGGAAGTCATGGAACTTCATTTGGTAAGAAAATGTCCTATATAGTAGATAGTTGTTTAGTTATTGCTTACGCGTGTATTGTAAAATTAACTGACAAAAATTTTTTAATTTACCTAAATTATAGATTTTATTGGAATTGTTACTAAATCCATTTTGAATGAGAGTACTGAATCCTCTCATGGAGACAGTTTGACGTATAAATTTGAAGTCATTGACCATGAGTAAGTGGGAATACGGTAGTCACTGTTGAGATATTTAATTTGTTCCTTATCATAATTCAATTTTGCCCCCATTAAGTCGTGCACTCTATCTAATGTTGTTGTGCATCGGTATATTGCATAGATTCAATGCTATTGTCATTGGCTTGACTGGAGATATTGGTCTAACGCTGGAAATCCATCTACAACAAGAAATGTGTTGGTTTCCAGTAATAATTTGTCGTGGTGCTTATTTTTCACAACTCCATGGTACTTATTATTTAAGATAGGACGCGATGGTGTCAAAATTATTTAATGCCCACATTATTCCGTATTTATAGTGAAATTGTTGTAAATTACTTGTAGATGTAATGGTTGAGATAAAGGAAAATGTGGAAGTTAGCATCGATCTAGATCTCCTTGAAGCTAACTATTTGCGTTCGTGGTTAGTATCATCACAAATATTGCATTTGATTCATTTAATACTTAATGGTAAATTGTTACTTTACCATTTGTGTTTGTTGCACTATTTTCCCTGGTAGGATTCGCCGTGCATTCAAGTTCAAGAGGAATGAAGATGTGACAATGAATACTGTCCGCCAACCATGTGAACGTGTCATCACCCACAAAGTCGATGATGGAGTGGTTTTGATTAAGGACTTGGCCGAAAAAGGTTTAATTCAGGTTGCTGCTCGTTCTATGCAATCATGTACTCGGATTCTTCTGCCTTGCTTGTTCACATAATTTGTTGTAATTATTTGTTCAATGATGACTTTTGTTGTCCTGTAGAGTGTTTCGGTTATTGGGTTTGGTTTAGTCAATCCGAGACTTTGGCACATGGCTTGTAAGCAATGTTTCCGCCCTGTTCATCATGAATACATGTATAAATTTACTTGCTGGATTTGTGGCTTAGAGAAACTCACTCGTCCTAGGTAACCAAAATATAAAGTTCAGAAGCTGCATTACATTTTGCTTCCAAGATTATACCTTCATTACTTATGTATGTATATTGAATTATGCAAGTTACAAACTCACTTTCATTCTGACGGATGAGAATAGAAGCATTTGTGCGACTGCAAGTGATATGCTTGCCGAACAAATTCTTAATGCAAGGGCTATCGATTTTTTGGAAAAGATTAAAACAGTTGAGTCATGTGTGTCGTTGTCTCTATTTGATTTTTAGTTTTCCCCATCATCTAAATTGTATCACGTTGTGGAATTCTCAGCAACCACGACGTGTAGTCTCTTTAGTTACTCTTTCATTAACTTCCCATAATGATAAGCTATGTACTTAAATAACTGGTTGTAATTCACTGAATCGCCTTAAAAATTGTGCATGGTTTTATGATTATAAATAATAATGTCCCGCAATCATAACGTCGTCGTTATATTTCAAAATATTTAATTTAATGTAATCTCCATTTTTTTTCACGTTTGTAATTGAGATATTAACAGTTTTGGTAGAGATTTGAAGTCCACTGTTATGGGGAATAGAGTATAAACATTTGTTTTTTGTTTGAAAGAGGTATAAACATTTGTTGGATAGATTCATTTCATAGACATGCAGTGATATTCAGTCTAATACAAACTTGCATCTCATTCGAAATTCTATAGTTATTACGTCTTATCATGTATTAAATTCAATGTCTCACATATTACGCATTCTGAAATAAGTGGAGAGAAAGCAATTTTGGTTCTACCGGTTATTTTTCTAAACAATTGTCAACGGTCATGCCCAACGATTGCAAAAAATACTGCTCAACATTTATATTCAAGCAGTATAGTTGGTTAAGGAAAAAATCCATAAAGTAAGAACATGCCAAGCATATAATCAAAATATTCTGCATAACACCGTCCAATGACATAAGGTGTAATAAAGTTCATAATTCTTCAGTGAGGAAACTTAAATTATGATGTCCAGTGAATGAAGATATAAATATAAATTTGAATATGGAGGGTCTTGGAGACCATGTACACACAAATTGATGTTATGTATTAAACGGCGCATTGTAATAATTAACATGATAATCTCTTTAAGGACGAGTAGCACAAAACAATACATTGATTGGATGTGAACAAGACAACATAATAATTGAAAAAGTTAAAGCAAACCATTAGCTAGCGGAGAAGAGCGGAACAGTACATGGACAATTAACTAAATTATCTAGTACATGGCCGAGAATGCTAAAGGGGTTAACATCTTCTTTTGGTTCTTCCCACATGGACATAAGAAACTCCACCAATTGTCATTGTAAGTTGCATTGGAATCTCCTTAAATCAAGAAATAACCATGATAAGATTTACGATGCACAGTAGTGTTAGGAGAAAAGTTGTTATTTCAAACCATTTCAGTTTTGTTTCCATGCGCCGGATTTGTAATTCCTTGCCGTTTAGGTTCTTAAGCAAGCCTAGAATGATTGTTATGGACTTAGGGCACATTTCCGGGTCCTACCAAGTGAAGTAGCCACATTGTTGTGGTGCCTGGACATATGAAAGAGTGTCAAAATGACATTATTGCAAGAAATGGGAAAATACTAAAATAAGTATAGAATTCACCGGTCACTGTGAGCATCCGAGGAATGGCCTGCCAAGATTTGTATCTCTCCAACAAGTCCTGAGCCTTGCTGGTAACCCACACAAGCAAAGGGACTGCTGACTGTCCATGTCAGTTGTGACATAGAATGTGGGGTGATTTTGTTGGGAAAAAGGGAAACACTTTTACGGGGATGAGGTGGGAATGGTTAGTTTTGTAGAATGGACAGTGATTTTATAGACTTTTTTGAGAGATGGGCTAAGATCGAGTGGAATTTCGTTGCCGTAAATTTAGGACTACACCACTCACATGTTAGAATAGTGGAGACATCAGTATGGTCCTGTTTGTGATGCTGTATGGTGACAGGCATTAAATACATTCAATATATTTGATGTTTTTTTTCCAACAAGACTAAGTACAAGTGATTGAGATGCCTCGATTTCCTCTTTCTTCCACACCAAACATGATCCATTAAAAGTTTTGTGTTGTTCATTGAACAATGCACAATATGCATATTGTAATATTACAATGTTCATCTCATACACTGTGCTGCTCATCCTGTGTTTGAAGTATGATGTTCACGGTGACTTTCTAGTGTACAATTTCATATTTTATTTTTGGTGTCCCAATCACGGTGCTTCGAATTCCTTTTTTTTTTTCACTGCACAGATTCCATTACTATTTTTTTGTGTTGTTCATTAAACAATGTACAATATGCATCCTGTAAGAGTAGAATGTTCATCGCATACACTGTGCTGCTCATCCTGTGTTTAATGTATGATGTCCACGGTGACTTTCTGCTATACAATCCTATCAACCTTATGTTTGTTGTCCCAATTCACGGTGCTTCGAATTCCTTTTTTTTTTTTTTTAACTGCCACAGATTCCATTAAGATTTTTATGTTGTTTATTTAAATATGTACAATATGCATCCAGTAACAGCATAATGTTCATCTCATACACTCTGCTGCTCATCCTGTGTATAAACTTTGCTGTGCACGGTGCCTTTCTGGTGTACAATATCATCTTTTATGTTGTATGGACTTTTTATCAAGTTTGTATTAACAATACGAATGGTTACCTGTTATTAGGATTATGTTGGCGCAATTGATGGGACTCACATTGATGTGTGGGTACCATTCCATATGCAACCGCGGTATCGTAATAGGCATGGGAATCTCACTACTAATGTAATGATAGCAGTTGACCATGATAGACGCTTTACCTTCGTCTATGCTGGAGCCGAAGGCAGCGCTCATGATGCCGCAATTTTTCAAGCTGTAGTAACGGATGAGCGTTTATGTTTTCCATTCCCTCCACTCGGAAAGTATTATGTCGTTGATCCTGGGTCTTTAATAATGTCATTGAATGGATCAAATACCACAACTTCCATTGAATGTTTATCACCGAATACAAAATCGATGTGCTCAACTTCTTCATGTGAATGCATGAGAGTAGCTGGATCTTCATATTCATCAACAACTTCAAGCACACAAGTCATTGGAATAATAGGGGCTGAAATATCAAGAGTGAACGAAATATTCTCTTGGATAAATTCTTCCTCTATGTTTGTTTCCACCTTAGGTTGAGCATCATCATCAATTTCTATCTGTGACAGAATAGTAGACATGATAAAAGAATTAAGATGGTTAGAAAAATTATCTGTCATAACCAAATCTTGTATCTCTTTTTGAGCTCATGTTGCAATTCTTCACATTCTTTCTTCTCTTCCTCAAATGCAATAGTTTGTAGCCGCATCTCTTTCTCCTTAGCATATTCATGGAAAGAAGATTGTAGCCCCTTTGTTGGCTCTATAATTCTTTGCAATTGAAGTTCCGTGTCTCGACTTTGTTGTTGCATGATCTCTTGAGATTGTAAGATCTGTTGTTCCATAGTCTCTCGAGATTCAAAAACTTGTTGTAACACAGTTTGCTCCTCCTCATATATTCTTTGTTCTTCTTTCTTCTGAAATCTCTCTCGTTCAAAAATATAGGAGCAAAACCCTTACGAATTTTTTGACAAAGCACTAGCCAAGAAACAATAGGAGGATCACTAAACCATTTTCTATCCCGTTCAAGATCAGTCCACCATGTAGTTGCATCTCCACGAAACTTGGACACAAAATATTGAAGTTTCTTAGTCTCCAAAAAGTTATAAAGAGAAAACATTCTCTCTACATGCGTCTCACAATCAAGATACTCATCTTCACCTTGTCGACCATAGAACTTGGGAAACTTTCTTTTAGGACTATAGTAAGGTTCATCATATTCTTTATCATAAACTCTACCATCATCATTTTCCTCTCGCCCGCTTTCCTCTATCTGGATTCCCACACGAGGACCCCTCCGGTTATTATTTGTTTGAACATGAGCCAATTGGGCAAATGCATGGATAGTATTTTGTTGTTGCACCACCACTTGAGCTTGTCGCTCCATTGCAGTGTTTTTTTCTTGCAACTGGATTGTCAAAGCGGCAATTTGCTTTTGCAACTCTGCAATAGACAGATCTCCACTCCCCATGGTACTTAGTAATCAACTCAAATGCAACACAAACAAGAAAGAAGATATAGAAGAACTCACTACCTTGTTATCCCTCCCAACTATACTATTCACTCCCCAAGATCACTCAAGAAGGTTGAAAATTTAGTAAGGGACGGATTCACTCTTTTCTTACCACTATCCTTGTAATTTATTCTTGGTGCAATGAGAATAACAAGCAATAAAAGACATGAGGTCAAGGAAAGATAAGCTCTGAATATTTGCAACTAGATCTAAGGAGAACACAAATTTAGATCAAGATAGTTACAAATAAATTTTAGCAATCTCGCACTAGATTTTTGAAATTTAGGGTATACCTTTCCAAAACCCTAGTTCTTGGCCAAAGCAAGCACAGGAGATATCAAACCCCTAGCTTCAAACACAAGTTTAGGGCAAAATTGCAAACCCTAGATCACAAGCAAAAAAAATAATAATTTATTGATTCTTTTTTCGTGCTTTTTTTTTGAACGATATTTTTTCTTTTTTTTTTTTCTCTTCTGCACGTTTTTTTTCTTCTTTCACAAAATCAAACAATATTGAATCGAATGGATCAAGATCAAGAGAGACCGAAACAAATTCAAGAATTAAAGAATATGCGAGATTCGGGAAAATCCAAAGTTTTGAACCAAGAAGTTAACCAAGGATAAGCCAAAGATTAATTAAAACACAAAGAAAGAAACGAACTTTTAGCTCTGAGGCCAAATTGATATAAATCTTCCGAGTCGCAGTTATTGCGGAAGCTTGACTTGAAAAGTTGCCTGGATGTTTGAATCTTTATATAACCACAAAGTAAAACCTATGCAAGCACACAAACCACGAAAAAGAACAGCTGGACCAACAAAAATCCAAGCTAAAGACGAGATGGA